ATCTCCCCTAGAATCAAATCCATCCAGTTGGTTCAACAGTTCCAACATTGTTCGCTGAATTTCTCTCTCACCACCAGAATTTGAGTCATATCTTTGGGGAAAAAAGGGAAGGAATGAAGACAAAACTCATCGCCTGCTAAAAAGGAATTACAGCAAAGACCTCATTATATGACAAAACACCTTAACAGACATTCCTGTTTCAACTCACATGGCACTCCCTCAATTATTCTTGGAAAAAAATAAATTCAGCACCCCTTGCCATGGTCTGAATGTATTTCCCCAAATTTGTGTGTTGAAATTTAATCCCTACTGGGTGGTTATTAAGAGATGAGACCTTCTTGGAAAGGGGGAAAGGCATGAGACAGAGCCTTAGACAGCATGTGTTCCTTATCAAAAGGGATAAAGGCCTTCCTTGTAAGGCATGTATTCCTTATAAAAAGGCTGCAGGGAACTAGCATGGGCCCTTTTTGCCCCAAGCATTTGTCCCCTCTGCAGAACAGGTGCCATCTCAGAAGCAGAGAGCAGCCCCCACCAGACATCAATGCCAGTGCCTTGATCTTGGACTTCTTAGCCCCCAGAACTGTGGGAAATAAATTTCTATTCTTTATACAAAATACCAGTCCTAAGGTATTTTGTTACAGCAGCACAAATGGACTAAGACACTCCTCATCAGCCAAGTTACAGATCATACATTTTCATAGCAGTTTCTGTGCCTGAAATTGGATCATGTATTGTTTCTATGTTTGGTATCTGATCCCTACAACTTGACTGTAAGCTCCTCCAGAGCAGGGACTACTGTGCTGACAACTGTGTCCCTGGGGTCGATGGTCCTGGCTTAGAGTGGGTGCTCAAGACATGATTATTCACAACTGACCAATCTCCAGACATTCACAGTTCCTGGGCAGTTGTTACCTGGCTCCTGGGAGAGCAGAGCCTAAAGCATCCACAGAAGGCCACGCACGGCAAGAACTGTGGCCACAGGGAGGGCCCTGAGATCATTAATTCTCAAGAGAAGAACTAGGCGGTGCTGTCATTCAACAAGGCAAAATAAGTATGAGAAAGTCTACCTTTTTGTCCCAATGGCGTCAATTTCATCAATAAACACGATGGACGGTGCATGTTCTTCAGCAACTCGAAACAGTTCCCGCACGAGTTTGGGCCCATCACCTAGGTACTTCTGAATAAGTTCAGAGCCAACCACTCTCAAGAAAGTGGCTGAGGTTTGGTTTGCTACTGCTTTGGCTAATAAGGTTTTGCCTGTGCCAGGTGGACCATAGAGAATGACCCCCTTAGGAGGCTTTATACCCATCTCTTCATAATATTCAGGGTGGGTGAGAGGAAGCTCCACAGATTCCTATGAAAAATACTCAGTATAAATGAAAGGCTTTACTGAAATTATTGGCAGACTTATTAATTGGCAACACGAGAATATCTTGCTTTCAACAAAAATAGGTAGAAATCTCAATTACTCTTCTTAGAGGCAATGTGCTTGCTTTCTATGAGCAGCAAAGACAAACTGAAGATGACACCTGCCCTACTTGAGTTCCCTGCACCCACTCTATTTTCCTAATTGCCCCCAATTTCCCTTTTACTTCTTACTAGAAGTCAGTCTTGAGCTCTTCTTGAGCAAGACAGACTAAAGAAAGCTAAAATTCACCCTTTTCAATTAAACTACAGATAGGACTGGGAGAGAATTCCTGATGGCTGTTCCCACCTAGGGACATTATTACTATTTCTCAGCTGCCTCAGAGGTCCCTGGCAGAGATCCGTGATGGCTCAGAGTGACTTCCCTATGAAAGAACATGCAGAGAGCCCACGGCCATCCTCAATGACCATATCCCCTGCAACCCCCAGGGCCACTGAAGGCACTGGGATTATGCTCCAGACCTCACCACTGTCTAAATGGGTGCAAGTACACATGCTGTCTCCACAAAGCACTGGAGGTTTCCAGGTAAACACAACTGAGGTCAACACAGTTAGAAACATTACATATTCACACAGACAATTCATTCACCACTACATATAAAAAGTAGGAAGCTGCCGCTGCTGCAGGAGCTATCACACAATTGATTGTTATTTCCATTACCTAACTCAGTATTAACAAATACGAAAATACCACAACAGGCAAGGTCTGACTCAGCTACTGGTTTGATTAATAAGCAAACAAACAAACATATAAAATAACTCCAGAGTATCCTAAATGGGACACCAGAAACCAAAACTCAAAAAAACCCAGAGATGGTTGCCAATCATACCTTAATTTCCTGAATTTGGTTGTCCAGGCCACCAATATCGGCATAGGTCTCCTGGGGGGCCTTTTCCACCTTCATCACTGTGACCAGGGGATCCGTGTCATCCATCAGCACCCCTATCACGGCATGCACCTAACAGGAAACATCACAGTTTAACACAGGAATGCGAGGTTCACTCGATCTGTTTACAGCAAAGCAATGCCAATCACGGCATCTTTCTCCTCAGGAGTGCTTTGGTGATCTACTTCCATGGGACAGGAAGACGGATCTAAGCGAAAAAAGAAAGCACTCCTGTGGGCTTTAGAGACATCACCTCACCTTGTGGTTGAGCAGGACTGAGCAGCCAGGTTCCAGCAGATCCTTGTCTACAAATGACAGAATGCTGACGTAGTGTTCTGAGCCCACAGATGTAGACACGATAGCATGATTGTCATCGATGATCTCTTCCAAGGTTCCTACTGACATCGGGGTGCCCCTCAGATCATCCACTTTTGATCTTTCCTCCT